TATGACGCATATACCAGTAATACATGAATACATTATGAAGCGTATACCTATAATACATGATCACATTGTGACAGCTATAGCTGTACCTGTCACTGCGAGGTTAAGAATTGTATTTTTAATCCCTGGCTAAAAGTGGGCATGTATGTCCACGTTCTGACATGGCTGGACTAAGCTGGTTACAAGTTATGCACACCAAACTGTTGTTTACTTGTTTACTCCTTCCTCCATGCATTAAAGAGTCACAGTACCCTTCCAAGTAGGTTTGGTGTCATTTTTAGCTTTATTTATTGGAAATTCATACACAGAGGGAAGGATCTATAATTTCTGTGATTCTAACTTTTAATCTTTCCTTCTAGCAGCTCGATTGCATGAGCTAAATTCTAAAAGCTAATTCATATACAAAGAGAACACCACCACCACCAATACTAATATCAATCATAAAAAAATAATAATAATGATATCAACCTAAATAACAATAGTCATAATAGTAACAAAACAATAAAATTTCTAAATGGGCTGATCCAAGAAAATTCTATAAATAAAATCATCACAACTGATCATTCACATGTTCAAATGTTTCAAACTCAAAAGCCACTGAACAATGTATGTTCTCCAAGTAATCTGGAAACACAAGGCATGCACTACGACTTTCAAGCTTATTTCCAAGGCTGAGACAAATCCACAATCCGCGACTTCAATAAACACTGCACCCGAATTTTTAACAAGCTCCACAATCAAATACAACTGCAATAATAACAAAACAGCCTCTACTAGAAATAGTTTCTCATCCTACAAGGAACCTATACAACTGTATGTAACAATCCAAGTGCCATGTTTTCCTGCATGCACTTAGACAATATGTATACCTTACGAATGGACTACTGTACTGTTCAGCTATCTGCACTTTTGACAGGCCAAAGCACAAAATGATTATCACTATTCCAATATTCCAGCTTATTATCTATCACACAAAACTTTATGCCCAGAAAACTTATCAAAAATTTGCAAAGACAATGAATATATGTGCTTCTTTTACAATCTTGTAGATCATAAAAGTTATATTTTCTACAAATTACATAAACTCAATTCACCTGGTAAAGGCAAGTACTACAATCACAGATCACCTGGTAAATGGAAGTAAGCGTATTTCCACCAAAGGAGCAAACAATTTCTAAAAGTTTCTACCCTACAACCTATGTATGATAAATGTGAAACATCATCGCATTGCAAGAAAATATAAGATAACTCCTGAGCCATATGCCTTTGTAGAAATCTAACAAAAAATAATTGATATCTGGCTAACAAAACACTAGAAAGACAATAAAATGGTCTCTTAAATATGATCTCCTGACAGTTGCATGCCTACCTTGCTAAACATACGAATGCATGTTGTAATAGCAGAAGTAATCAAAATTGTTCCACGGATGTTACATGAACTTTCTACAAGACCATCACTTAATATAATCATGCCCAATTCTTTTTTATTAAGACAGAAATGCACTTGAGAGGTTGGTGAGGACTGGGTGAATGAAAAATATCTTGAAAATATCCTTGTACTCCCAAAAAATATCACCAACCATGAAAATATAATCTCTCCCAATACTAAACTATACTAATCATTCCCAGCAAAATAATTCTTTAACTAGATGTCCAATGCTAGACTATACTACTACTTTGCAGGCAAGATCACTTAGGAACCTGAGCCCTCTACAATAGAACAGTCTCATGTAATTCAGAAAGCATAAACAGTTATCAAATTCCAAGATACTAAATATATATGTTACCATAACATGAATTGTGATAAATTTTACAGAACACCTATGTATCCATCAGAGTTTATCACCAAGGCCAATAAACATCAAACCTGTATATTCAGGCAAACACAGGAGCTTGTAGGTTATCATGGTAATTCTTCAGTAAAAAAAAATATATATTTATTCTATACAGACTTATGAGTGCTGCTTTGTTGCCTTTGTCAAAAGGAATATGTACAGAGGCTGCAGTAATTGCATGACACTGTTCTAACACAAAGGAGGCTTTCTATCACAGATCGCAATAAGTTTATGTGATTTTGCATAGAATAGTCACTATGTTACTAAGTTCATATCGCTCTGACATGCCAAAAACCCACCTAACCCATCACGGACACCAGCCTTAAACCTTGCCTATACATAGTAACTATAATCTAGTGTGAATTTAATGGCAAAACCATGCATTCTTTTTCACATCTGCAGATTAGGTGCATTCTAATTTGGTATAATATTTTTGCATACCTTCCACATGTCTTACTATTCATATTGCTAAATTTTCTCTCTATCCATTTATTCAAAATACTGACAATTATTTACAGCCTCTTAGCTAAAATATCTATAGGCAGACTTTAGAAAAAACTAGCTTTACTAACTCATCAGTATATACCTATATGTTAACAAAAATAACACTATCAACTTCATCGTTTCCACATAAAACCAGAAGAACAAAAAAGTCAACGTCTTTGTACCATTAACGACTTCATTTCCACTTATGTCAAATTATTACAACAGGTAAAAACATGTTTGAATTTCAATCCAATTACCAATATAGACAGCTGTTTTCTCAAAAGCAAATGTTCACCCATTATAACTGTTATAACTGTAAAAGAAGGGACTACTATTTGATGGTAATATACTCAAGGGCCTGCATTTGTGATGTCTTATGTTTTCACATTCTGTGCTCTTGCAAAAGGCAAACAAAATTTCACCATTCATTACTGGCAAGATTGTTTTGTGACTTCCTTGGACTTTTGCTAAATATGCAACCAGTCCAAGCTCTACCCTGCCGAATAGAGGCTGCACCACTGCTCCATGCAGTTGTACGTTTATAACAGCTTATTTCCTACACTGGAAAGACAGCATTTCTATAAATATTTACCTTGTGATGGCTACCTAACTCTCACCTAATTACGTCTGCTCTACCCCTTAAACATCATAGAAAAATATGCATTAATTTATAACATTACCATCTGAACCATCCCTCTATATGTATAATCCCCACTACTTTTTCAAAAAAGAAGAACAGTAACAAAAACATTAAAAAAAAAAAAAAAATGAAGATATGACCATTTGCAAAACTAAAAACAATGAACATCAGATGAGAGAGAGAGAGAAAAAAAAGAAAGAAAAAAAATCAAATAACACAAAATAATGGTACACCAACAGCCTATCAAACCTGTCAAGTTATGCATCAAGTAATTCCTTCCATGCTTTGCACTACAGCAATTGTCAACAAATATCTACCATTATTTTCATGAGTTTGTAAACCCCTGTTGACATTCCATCATTAATAGGGACCTAATCCAAAATATCTTGCCAAAATATTCATGGTTGTGGTTGCTGGGTCTTTCCAAAATATCAACTGTTGAGGCTACAGTACTGCTTGGCAGGTGTCCTATCTTAAATATTTATTAGATCTGTTAACCAGCGCTTTTATAAAGTCAACTACAGAGCTTGAAAAAAGAAAGAAAAAAAAATCGGCCTTGCAGCATTAAAAAGAAACAAATAAATAAAAAATCCAACCCACAAATACTAACAGTTAATGGTTATTCTTTATAGTATAGACGCATATAGCAGACACTAAGTCCCCAACTCCCTGTCAAAAAATTTATTCATCAATCTAAATTGCCATGACTAGGAGTGCCCTTCAGGCACTGCCCAAGGGGAGGGTTGATGGGGGCTTTCCCCCAAAACACCCTACGGCAAACAATGTCTTCACCCAAGTATACACAGCAAGATAGAGCTGAAACTCGGAGCCCAAAGTAGACTTTAACTAAGAGCAGTGCTTCCGCGATCTCTCCTTTATTTGTGGTGTTACCGTCCACCGTCCGTGTCTGCAAATTATTTCTTTGTACTAACAACTGCAAATTTTTGTCCTCTACAAGAATATTCATATTCAACTTGCCTAGGTGCATCCATACTATAAACATTAACCTAATTAATGTTTATGATATGAACAAACTATGCTTACATAAATAGAAGAGGACATTATTGTAGCAGACAAAAAATTGCAGTCATTGGTACAAGAAATTATCTGCAGCCATGAATAGTAATGCCAAAATTAAAGAAAAAATATCTCGGAAACCATCGCTCACTGCCTACATCCACTCGTCACTCATATGTTTCACCTCTTATCTTGTCCTACATATCAATAAGACAATATATGTCCCGAGGTGTTAGAGGCCCATCAACCCTCCCCTCAGGCATGCCTAGTCAGAGCAATTCAGGTTGTTGAATAAAGTGTGTGACATGAAGTTGGAGACAGTCTCTGGCATGTGGGTCAGTTATGTAAATAATTACTAACCAAACACAACATCATGTCTTAAAAAGTGCTCCCTTCCAAACAGCAACATCTATAGTACTTTGATAATTAGCAATAATGCATTATTTGTAAAATATCCACCTGACCCACAATCCAATAATACAAAAAAAATTAAACAGTATCACGCCTATCCAATCACACATGCCAAACACAACAGCAGTATCATCGTAACTTTAAAAGTGCTCCATTCCAAATAATTAATGTCTCAGAGCTCATAAGACTGATAACTGAATATCAGTTAACCATTATTTGTAAAATTTCCTCCTCACCCACATCTGAGTTAGCAATAAATATCCTTATCCGCTAGATCCTCCCTCGGAAACTTCAATCACTGTATTTTTCAGTCCTCAAAGGCTTTTTTACTAAATTTAAATAACAAATAGTATTCAGAGATTTCAGAACTCATCACAACACCATCACTTTTCCTTTCAGGCGCAATTTTGATGATTCGCAAGATTTCAAAGACATTCAATGTTCTAGAAAGAATTTTCCATTTGCTGGTTCCTTTGGCAAATCCACACTACCAAATCCACAGAAACTATCCGGGCTCATACATAAGGAATAACAACACAAAAGCAGCCACTAAATTCTTCAAAATAACAAAAAGAGAATTTGTACTTTTCCAAACAGCAACACTGCATGTCCACAAACACTGCTTCCAAAGCGGGCCCCTTCCCTCACACCAGGCACGAGAGCAGCCCCAAGGCATCCTCACACCCCGTCGGGCACTCTCGCGAGGGCAAAGGGCCTATTGAAACCAAGGAAGAACTCACTGTCTGGGCAGCTGCAGGGGCGGCGCCCCCCTTCCTCTGGAACACCCCGTCCACGAACACGCCGTTCTTGCCGTTGCAGATCATGTAGAAGTGGGGCGTCTCGAAGTATATCTCGATGTGGCGTCGCGAAATAAAGCTATTGTGGCCCATGTTGACGTCCACGTCGCCCTTGCTGGAGTTGCGCCCGATGACCACCCGACTCTGGCGCACCATGTATTCGAATTCCTTGCCTTCCAGTCTGGCAATGGGCGTTCCCTTCCTGTCGGGGACCACGGCACGCGGTGAGGCGAGGCTGGCGCGGACATTCTGAAGGGCTAGCAGGGCCCAAGCATGCTGATCCGGGCCCCTGACAGGAGCAGACATCGT